GATAATACAATCAATATTTTTCTTCAAAATAGTCTCTGAGATCCAGGAACTGTTGGCTTACTATTCACACTGCTGCGAGGGGGGGGGGGGAGGGGTTGTTGTTCATTTTTTTTATTGATTTTTTTTTTTTTTTAAGAGAGCTAGGAAGGAAGAGGGAGAGAGAAACATCAGTGTGAGAGTAGAATATCAACTGGTTGCCACCTACACACCCGCTACCAGGAATCAAGTCTGCAACCCAGGCATGTGCCCCAACCAGGAATCACACAGGTACCCTTCAGTGCATGGGAGGACACCCGGCCAAGCCACATCGGCCAGGGCTCCCACACTGCCACTTTAGGTGAGTCACTGGGCAATTCACCTGTGTGTGGCAGGCAGGTTCTTCATCTCTGAACACAAATCTCTAAAGATAAAAAAAAAAAAACCTTTTCAAATTCAAAACCTCAAATCCTTTCCACTTATCACCAACCAAACACTGGGAACCATGATCGTGTAAATTATTTCTCATATGTTAGTGTTTCCCAACACCTGAAGAGCAGCATAAAGTTTTACTCCTTTGAATGTAGAAATCCTGTATTTCCAATTAAGGATACATATTCTCTGATAATCAATTGAAGGAAGAGAAAGCCTGTCCCACCATATGAAATTAGGAGCCCAGGTCGTGTTCCTGACTATAGAGAACAGCCCACCTCTACCTGGAGAACCTGCTGGTAGAGTCTCCACTGCTACGTGCAGCCACCATTAATTCACTCTAATCTGACCAGAGAAGTCCATGGTAGCCTAGACTTTCATTCTTCTACTGAGGTCCCATTAAAACGCCTCTCTAGTAAGGTTCTCATTCTCCCTTATTCATAGATGACAACATTCCAGTTAAACCTGTCCCCAACACTGTAAATGGGAACCACCTGTCACCTGTGTAGTTTTCCAATAAAACTAAAGGAGACATATCATAAGCGAACACACTAAGACAAATGGCATTACAGACTGAGGCTTAAAGACCTTAAGCAACCACCACGAATGACTGCCAACTGCTGCACTTCCAAGGAGCCTTTGCCCACTAAATTCTTGCAATCAACCGATAAGAAAAGTTTCATGCCAAGAGGCAGGTAGGTGTTTGCAACAAAGATAAAAGATTTTTAGAAAATAAAACAATCAACAGCAAATACACACACCCCTCCCAAGTAGAAAGTCAAGGCAGATGCCAAGTTTAGAACTAACCCTTTTCCAGAAAACCATGTCCTACTCTTCCTAGGATCAAGGCCTCACTCAAAGAAGAGTTTTGCATTAATGATACATGCAAGACGGGATGGGGATGGGGACTACCCCAGTAATTTGGTATATTAAAAGTTAAGCATGGCCCTGGCCAGTTTGGCTCAGTGGTTAAAGCATTGGCCCATAGTCCATTGAGACCCAGGTTTGGTTCCTGCTAGGGGCACGTACCTCAGTTGCAGTTTGTCCCCAGCCCCGGTTGGGTCGTGTGGGAGGCAGCCACTCGATGTGTCCCTTTCACATCGATGTTTCTCTCTCTCTCTCTCTCCCACTCTATCTGAACAAAAATGGAAAGATGTCTTCCGGTGAGGATAAAAAACAGCAACAAACTAACAAAAAAAAGTTAAGCATGGAGCCTTGGCTGGGTGGCTCAGCTGGTTGGAGCTTTGTCCTGTACATCAAAAGGTTTCAGATTCATTTCCTGGTCAGGGCACATGCCCAGGTAGCGGGTACAGTCCCTGTTGGGGCGTGTACAGGAGGTAACTGAATGATGTTTCTCTCTTATGTCAATGTTCAATAAACACACATCCTTGGATGAGGACACAAATTAAAAGTTAAAAAAAAAAAAAGTTACTCATGGAAAGATGATGAGAAAATACACAAAAAGCAGACGTTTTCCAAGACCTGTCCCAACACTGTGGTCCCTTTACAAGGAGGGACCAAGGCATGAGGTCAGACAGAGAAATGGATCCTTAGAGAAAACAGCCTGACATTGTTCATACTTCACGAAGCCGCCTCTCTTTAGGGCCCTAACTGCAACTCTGACAAACCAACTGCTGCGCTTCTTTAAAAGCAATGGCAGCTTTTTGCTGTTAAAATATCTACTCTCCTAAAAGCCAGAGCTGCTTCATCCTTCTGGTGGAGAGAAAGCCCACATGAGACGGACAGAAGGGAACTTCAGGACAGTGCTCACCCCTGGGGAGGCAGAAGGAAGAAAAGGACTGGAGAGGAGGGTGGTTAAACAGACCTGCCTAAAAAATAGAGGCCTGACCTGGCCGGTTTGGCTCAGCGGTTAGAGCGTTGGCCTGCGGTCCAGAGAGACCCGGGTTTGGTTCCCGCTAAGGGCACGTACCTCAGTTGCAGTTTGTCTCCGGCCCTGGTTGGTCGTGTGGGTGGCAGCCACTCGATGTGTCCCTTTCACGTCAATGTTTCTCTCTCTCCCTCCCACTCTAACTGAGCAAAGAATGGAGAAATGTCCTCGGGTGAGGATTAAAAAAAAAATAGAGGCCTCAGGTAAATATGTTCAAACATCCACATTTGTTCAGTCTGGCTGGCGGGTCCCTGGAAACCTAGTACACCGACACACTTTTTAATTTTTCTGCATGTCTAAAGGACTTTATAATACAAAAATTAAAGTAAAATGCTCTGCATGTGAAAAGGAGACACAAAGGGCTCAAAGAAAATGCAGGCTGGTGCCTCAGCAATGCGGTGTCAAAGTCCAACCACGCTACTTTGATTAAAAGTAATTGCCGAGCAACACAATAAATACACACAAGCCTCCTGGGAACACTCAAATGCAGGATAACACACACTAGAGTTACAACCCACTTTATAGTTTTACATTTTATCGCCCAATAGTCTTTTGATATCTTGTTAACAAAAGGCACATCAGTACTTTTATCTTTTGCCAAATAAAGCGCATGCCCATATTTGAAGTTACGCTGAGGATACGTAGTAGTATTTTAACATGCACTTGTTGATCTGAATGAAAACCAACCAAACTGCAGGAGGCGAAAAGATGGCAGCCTGATTTTTAGCACTAAAGTTAAGATGGATCAAAGTGTGACACATTTCTGTTTAGGGTTCAGAGAAAAACAGCCGGATTTAGGCCTGTGCTAACAAACACAGATGCTGCCACAGAGAGAGAAATGAAAAAATCCACAGGTTTCTTCTCCAGGATCCGCTACCAAATGGTCCATACCAATGAGGACATGACAGCCATTTAGTGCCAACATGACCTCACGGGGCCTTGTCCCCAGTTTTTTCCAAGAACTTGCTTTGGTATACACATATTGTGAGCTCGTGAGATTAGGGTATATGGCTACAAATATGCCAGTTCTGTGGATAAGCGCTACCACCACACCACATGCAAAAATCACACCAGTCACAAACTGTTAGCATGGGAGCCAAGTCGGGACAACAGTTATTTTGTTGGGCTCACACTTTTTTTTTAAAACTTGAACTGGGATAATGCTCATAAAAGCCTAGATTTCTGTGTTCCCTCTTCTAAATACCAGAAGATCTAGCAACACTGCAGTGGTGTGAGCTCAGCGGGCAGCTACTCAGTTTGTAGGAGGCCTGCTCCCCAGTTCCCACCACTCCCCGTCCCCACACATGCCCACATCACTTATCCACACTACTCGTCCTGCCCCTGCAGGCATTTCAATCTGTGACTTAATACTCAGGGTGCCACGCCTCGAAGGCACTGGAACTGAGTAGATTCTCCTTAGAGCCAAATTGGCGGGTGGGAGGGACACAAGGAGAAAGGGTTTGGTTTGTAGAACTCTGAATTCCAATACAGGGTAGAAGAGGGGAGGAAGAGCCTGAACAGACATTATCCCCACCATCAACACACACCTGCCCATCTCCATGGTTCTGTTTCTGAGCTCCAACCTATATAGCTCCTTTTCTGATGCTCCTGGGTTCCCTGAATACATGAGAACCCTGACTCTGAACAATGCTCATTTCAGCTTGAACAACGCTCATTTCAGCTTAAGAGCGAGTGGCCTCTGCTCCCATATTGCCGAAAGACTCACAGAGGTGTACTGGCTTGTTTCTTGATGCGATGCTCCCAACATTCAAGCCAGCCATGAGAATTCCTTTCTACTCTGTAATGCATCAGAGGCCCACAAATGCTGGGCCCAAACTCACAGCAAGTAAAGGAAGCATCACACTGTGACATTTGTTAAGCTAGGAGGAAAAGAAACGACGGCTAAAAACAAAAGATGTTTGATGGAAAGGGGAGAAATTACTCAAGACAAAAGTGTCAGACACTCACATACAAAAGATGCACAGAGAAAGATGTGTCAACATCAAAGGAAATTTCCAAGGAAGAACTGTAATAAGCTCCCTACTGTGCATAGAGATATATACATACATACACACAATGCGCATTATAGCCATAATTATAATAAAGTTCAAGATATATTAAGTTACCACTACATATACACTATAAAAAAAATAAGAAATGACACCAAATAGAGTTTCCACAGTTCACAGTATGTCAGTCTCAAGGCACTTTATCAAAACCTAATTTTCCTAATCAGAAGTGTCAAAGTTCATATTCTCACGTGTGCCTGCGGGGTTTCTTTTTTTTATTTTTATCCTCACCCGAGGACATTTTTCCTTTTTTTGTTGTTGTTGTTCAGATAGAGTAGGAGGGAGGGAGGGAGAGAGAGAGAGAGAGAACGAACCATCGACGTGAAAGGGACACATCGAGTGGCTGCCACCCACATGACCCAACCAGGGCCGGCAACAAACTGCAACCAAGGTACGTGCCCTTAGCGGGAACCAAACCGGGTCTCTCTGGACCGCAGGCTGATGCTCTAACCGCTGAGCCAAACCGGCCAGGGCTGCCTGCGGAGTTTCAAGAAACATTTCACAGTCGAAGAAGAAGAGTTGTACTCCTTAGACTTACAGGATCATGGGCAGAAATATTTAAAACCACATTCCAGCCCAATTCTCCCAACGCAGTGTTTCCAGCCCTGCAGACAGAAAGGAAGGTCGACACTCACCGCAGAGAGCTGGCTCCAGGTGGACCGCAGTGGCTTGTGCTGGATCACGATTTTCTCCTCCGACTTCTGTTCTCTGGGCTCGGACTCTTCATCAGAGTCAATGTCAAGGGCCTTTTCTTTGTAGTTCTGGTACAAGACGGCATTTTCTGCAAGAAAAATAAACGCTACGTGTCAGTAACTGACCCCGTTATTGTGCTACCTGTTCTAAACAAACATATTTATACAACGTTGGGTCTCCACTTTAATAAACAACAAAGAGACAAATGGATTTTTCACTAAAGAGTATTCCAACTACCTAAAAGTGATTTTGTCACTCACACAGCCCTGTTACAAATTAATCCATAGAGGAAAGGGGGGGGGCCCATACTTGAAATGACAACTAACACAAAATTCCCACATCGCTGTCCACCACCCATGAAAGATAGTCATAACTGTTTTGTAGGTTATATTGAATCCATACCCTACCTTCCCTCCAAGGTCTATCACTATTCATTTATCTGCTTAACAGACATTGTCCATCTACAATGTACCAAGGGCTGGGAGTAAACAGAGTTAAAAGTTTAATGAGAACAACAGTCAAAGTCACTCGTTCATTTATTGATTCAACTGATATTTAGAAATGCCTATTAGATGCCAATAACTGCTAGGCACTGGGGATACGATGAACAGAATATATAAAAATCTCAGTCTTCATGGAGCTGACATTAGAATGAGGGAAGAGTGACAATAAACAAACAAATAACTTAAAAATATGTCAGATGCCGTCCTGGCCAGTGTGGCTCAGTTGGTTGGAGCATCATTCAGTATACTGAGAGGTTGTGGGTTCCAATCTTTGTCAGGGCATGTAGCTAGGTTACAGGTTTGATCCCTGCTGGGGCATGTATAGAAGGCAAACAACTGATATTCTCTCTCACATCAGTATTTCTCTCTCTAAAATCAATGAGCATATCCTCAAATGAGGATTAAAAAATACACACACACACACACACACACACACACACATGCGCGCGCGCGCGCACGTCAGATGCTGATAACTATCATGGAGAAAAATAAAACAAGGAAAAGGGAATATTACCAGGGAGGTATGTAGATTTTAAATACGGTAGTTTAAGAAGGGCTCACTGACCTTCTTAACAAAGATCTAAAAAGGGTGAGAAAGTCCTGGCTATTTGACTCATCAATTAGAGCGTCATTGGTCCACAGGCCGAAGGGTTGCAGGTCTGATTCCTGGTCAAAGGCATACACCTGGATTCAATCCCCGGCCCCACTTGAGGTTGTGCAAGAGGCAACCAATCGATCTCTTTCTCACATTGATATTTCTCTCTCTCCCTCCCTCTCCTTTCCTCTCTTCCACTCTATCTAAAATATCAATGGAGAAATATCCTTGGGTGAGGATTAACAAAAATTTTTTGATTAAAATTTTAAAAATAGGTGAGAAAGCAAGCCACCTGTACAAGTGGGGGAAAAACATCCCTTCAGAGGGAATGGCAGGCACAAAGGCCCTGGGGCAGGACTCTGCTTGGTGTTTGCTCCAAGTGAAAAGGCAAGTCACTGCAGAATTGAAGACACAATGATTCTACACACTAAAATGTTTATATATAGGTGCTCTGAGAACAGACTGAGAGCAGGGTGTGACCTGGTCTTGGGGTTAGAGAGGTGTCAGTAAGGAAAATCTAAGATCTGAAAGCTGAGACACTACAGAGCTAAAAAAAAAAAAAACGCATATGCAAAAGTCCTGAGGCAAGCAAAAATATAGCAGGTCAATGTGCCTGAATGTGAATGTCTAGCGGACAAAGGGTGCAAGCTGAGCTTAGGGAGATGAGCCCGAGAGTCCAAATCAAGCAGAGCTTTGCAAGCAATGCTAAAGAATTTTATCCTGAGTAAAAAAGGAATGCATTTCTTTCACACTGGAGAGATTATTTTACGGTGAGTCTAAATGATACATCCACGAAAATGCTTTTAAAAATTTTTTGATACTGTGAAAAAATGCTCACAGTAGCCCTGTCCAGGTGGCTCAGTTGGTTGGAGCATAGTCCCATACACCAAAAGGTACTGAGTTCCATTCCCAGTGGGAATGCAAAAAAAAAGATTGCATTTTACCCTGACTGCGATGGGAATCACTGAAAGGAAATACGACTAGATTGGAGGAGCAAAACACTGACTACTTGGGGGACTGATGAGGATGTTACTTCAGCGGCCAATGAAAGATAATGGAGCTTAGGCTATGCAACTTAGAAAGGACTGGGAGTGGACTGGAATATGGGCTCGGAGAGAGGGAGGTGATCAGGTGCTTCCCAGGTCTGCAAGTCCCACAACTAGAAGGTAGGAGAGGGGAACACCAGCAGAGATTTATTTAGCTATAGTAAGGAAGCAGGAGTTTGGTTTGGGACACAGAGTTTGAAATTCCTTTCCATCTGCTAAAGCAAGCAAATATCTGCCTCTTCTCTCATCAACTACTGCATGTTCTCCATGACTGTGATAAAGGAATACTGGGGTCTCTGCAAGATTGCACTGGTCTCTGATTGCTCTGCACACGTAAAACAGACTGTGAGGGTAATGACTGAGTCAGTCTCTCCCAACTCTAGTGCCCTTTAAAGGAGTTAGTGGTTGACACAAAACATATGCATACATTGTTGAAATGATTTCTCATTCACTCCCACAACCTTGGCAGTAGTAGTATTAGCTTCACTTTACACACGATGAAATCAAGCCTTGGTGAGGTTAAGACACTTGCTCAGTATCACACAAATGATAAGTAAAGCAGGAGAGGGACCCAGGTCCCTGGCTCCAACTTCACAGGTTCTCACTACTCTATCACACTGCTTCCCAAGTTATACTCTTGTTAATCATTAACTGTAAGAACCCTGCATTCCTCATGTATATATATGTAGAAAAGAATTTCTAGGTCATCATATTTAAAGAGATAAGAGGGTTCACAGAAACAACTCCTTAGGAAACAATGTAAAACCAGTTATAATGAAGGGTATGATCTTTTCTGGGGGTGATCTGTCCTCTAACTTAAAGCAGCATAGCTCAACATTTTTAACCTTTTGAGGCAAAGGTCTGAGAATCAATGTCAAATTCCAGAAGATGCAAGACATCTCTCTAAATAGATATTAGGTAGATGCTCTGATCACTTCATGGTCAAAAAGTGGTATAAAAGAAAGCAGACTAGATTGAGAACCAGATCGCTGTCCCAGAACTGGCTGTGTGACAGTAGAGAGGGTACTAAACCTCTCTGAGCTTCCAGTTTCCTCAACTGTAAAATCAGGGAGATGAATGTATCCCAACCAACCACAGCACTGCAACTGGGTTTCTTCTCCATATAGGAAGTTGCCTACGATTGGTGCGATGAATACAATTTTATCAACAGGTTATGTTTAAACGCTCCAGTGGGAATGATTTTTGTATCGGGAAATGGTTTATAATCACCGAGGTTATATATTTTATACCTCTGGGTGGTTTTACATTAGATTTACTTATAGAGGAGCATACCCTTCTTCATCATTTTGTAAAGGTTGGAAAATCTAAGCATTTCAAAGCATGACAGAAAGGAACTACCCACACCTCTACCACGCTCCACCAGCCCTACCAGAGTTGCAGAGGAGGCCCCTGCTTCCTTCATGCTTTTCCAGTTGGCTGACATTTGACCCGTCTATTTACACAAAGCCCACGAATCTGATTAGGGTTTGAACACCTGGTTGAAGCTGCTTTTGTTTTTGAGACCCTTAATAGAAGTACTATATGGTTTACAAATTCTTAGGAATATGTTTCTGTTGGCCAGGAGAGTTAAATTTCCCCCAAAATGAAACCTGATAAGGAAACAGGAAGTCAGAAATGATACTTAAATGGGGAAAGAATATTAACTCAAAGGAAATATGACCTAAGGAAAAAAACAACTTAAGATCTAAATACCAAACTCTCAGAATTTTTAACTACAGAGCTAGAGCTTGCTCTTAACTCTTTCTTCGTTTTTTGAGGGAGATGGGGATGGAGCCAGAGTAGAAAAGAATTAAAACTCCCAGGACACTGGCTGACAAAGTTATCAGCTTACAAAGAAAGTTATTAATTTTATTCACTGCTGGTATTACTAGATGATAATTTAGCTAAGTGAAGAGCTTGGTATAATTTTGAGAAGTTGGACATTTTCCTCATCTTAAGTGTTTTTGTTACTGTAGTTGGATTGCAATTTATAATTGACATTCCACATTGAAACAGCAATAAAAGTCTGGAAAATCAAATGCTTACCTTCCCCATCAAATGGTCCTTGTCCTTTCAGCATTTTTTTCTAAGAAACAAGAAAAGCAAAAAAGGAAAAGGCAAAGCATACTATGTATGAATGAGCCAAACAGAAAATACAACTATTTTAAGAAAAAGTACGTATTTTGTTGTTACAGTCACTAGATTTCCCAAAGCATAGAGCAGATGATCCCTGGAGTGGTTCACTCATATGACTAGTACAATTCACTAAAACAGTAAAATAAAATGTACAGTGTTCCTCACACCCTGTCGAAATGGTTTGAGAATCCTCAAATGACCAGCAGGTTCAGCTCATTTCACTACCCATGATTCACCATCACTGTTAAATTGAACTCTGCTGTACTTGTGTGTGTGTGGGGGGGGAGGCACACAAACCATAAAATGTTATGTAATTTCTCTAAGGCCATAGAATCTAAAATAAAACATGCTTGCTTGTGTATTACATATGTGACATTTATATAGACTGGTTCCACTTCTCCGATTAATGAAGAAAAGATGTTGCTGCCAAAATGAATTTCTGCCCTGCTGCTCAGATCCGCCTTATTTCTGGAGAAGGCAGCACATGTACACTCCAAAATCCCCATCTCTAGTTTTCCCTATTTCTTTAAGTCACATTTGGCAATATTTTGCCAATTGCGGCTTTTGGGCCTTTATTGGGAAGCAATAACACACTGTTCACCGAAGTTTTGTTAAATGCACTCAAGGATCAATGGGCCCAAAATAGGAATGAAATACAACCAAAAGCTGAATTGACAGAAACAAGTAACAACAAAGATGACTGGACTACTTGTATAGCTTTTATGTCTTGTTATTCTGACACCTAGTTTTAAAATTCACATTTTACCTGAGGTATTTAGTACATGATCACCACTCAAAAAATTTAAATAATTAACGTAAATTAAAATAATCAATAGGCTCAAAGGACTTTCCCTCATCGGCTGTGATCAATCAGCAACCACTGACTAGCACCTCTAAGCAAGCACCAGACAGCTTGATCTGAGTCAAGACTGCAAATCCAAGCCTACTCTCCACCCCCTCTGCAGCTTACCTGTATTAAAAGTGTTCAGGGCTCAAGCAGCCAATACCTAACTTGCTGTTTTTTCCCATTTGTCCCCAGATTTTGCCTGAGTTTAGAAAGTTAACATAGTGATAAGAGTTTCACCTCCTCCCACAAACCTGGGTTAACTTGGGCTGTGCCTGCCAGCCAATAGAATGGCCAAGAGAGAGGCGTACACAGGTTTGATCAACAAACTGAATTAAACAGAACAATAACATCTGGTTTCCTCTACGCCCCTCCTCCCTACCCCCAACACCTTCACTCTGGACTTGGTGAATTCCTGGTCAGTGACACGCGACATTCCTGTCCACTCTTACCTTTATCCTTCCAAGGCTGGAAAACTTCTCCTTGTCTTCCATCACCGCTTTCAGAACTGGCTGGGACATTCTGTTCTTCTTCTTCGAGGTGGTAGGGCTGTCAAAATCAACGCCACTGACCACTGCCCTGCGATAGGACGTGGACCGCAAGCCTCTCCGCAGAGACCCAGGGCTGTCCAGGTCATTCTCGGCCTCGCCTTCGTCCTCCGAGAGGCCCAGGGGCGCTCCGAGGCCCTCCACCATGCTGCGCACCTTGAGGAGTCTCTTGTGGGGCTCCACATTCTGGCTGTTTTTACTTATTTTAATTTCCGAGGCCAGGCTTTTAGGAATAATCTGGTGCTTCCCTACTTTGAGGGCAGCCGGGCTATTTGTGCTCAAAACCACTGAAGGACTCTCGGGGAGCTCGTTCTCCTGTGAGGACAGCCTTTGGAGGGGGAGTTTTTGTTCCAAAGGCCTATTCTGGGGCAAGGGTCCCTGCTCAGGGTCCTTAGCTGTCTGGCCGGATTGCAAACGAGAGCCTGGTGAACCGATACTAGGAGTATGCCCATTTGCAGTGGGCAAAGGCAGGGGGCTGGCAGTCACTCCGATCCGGTCTCCCTCCCGGCTGCAGGGGGCGGAGGCGTTAGGAGTCCGTGGGGGGCACAGCCGCTCCGGCGCGGGCGAAGTCACCGTACCATTCGCCGGGGATTTCGGGGAGCCGCCAGACGCCCCTTTGGAGACCTGGGGTGACTTGAGCCGTCGGAGCTGAGGAGAGACAGCCCTGTACTCCGGGGACACCGTCCGCCCATTGGTCACCGCCTTCCGCTGGCACAGAAGCAGGGGGCTCCTCTGCACCGTCCTGCCGTCCCCAGCGGTGGGTACCTGGACGGGAGTCTGTGCCGCGGGGAGCGTCCCTAGGTCCTCCACCGGGAAATCCGTGATCAGCAACCCGCTGGGGCTCTGGTAAGACTGGGGTCTTGGCTTGTTCCGGCCCAGCAGCTGGGGCGGAGGGGTCGAGCGCCTCCGCCACAAAGGGGTTAAGCTGTTACTAGAAAATTTCATTTCGCTCTCGCCCTCCATCGCGAAGCCTCGGGGGTGAGCCCCGCGAGGAACAGCACCCAGCTAGTCTTGCCTAAAGAGGAAAGAAGTCATGGAACTTTGACTCCAGACAACCAGGCACGCCTTTCGGACACGCGCGCTCCACGCCCGGCGGTCACCCGGCTGCTGCGCGGGACACAACTGCGCGTCCACTTACCCGCCCTTTCTCGGGCAAAGTCGGCGCCCACCACGCTGCGCAGTCCCGCAGAAAACCCGCGCTGCGCCCAGCGGCTTAATCCAATTACCTCCTCGCCTCCCGCGCGCCCGAAGACCACCCGCACAGAGAAAGTTCGCCACCGATTCGCCGGGTGCAAGCTGATGCACAAGAAACTTGGGACCAGTTCAGCTTTCTGGGGAAACTCGCCGCGAGACGCTCCCCTCCTCCGCCATCCAGCCGCCCGCCTCTGTCGTTGGTTCCCTCGCGCTCAAACTGCCCGGCTCCTTGGCGGATATACCTTCGGGTACTTGCAGAGCTGGGGGCCAAGGAGGGCCCACAGCCCAGTGGGTGGCCCGCGGACGAGACCAAGGCGCCGCGACCGGAGCTCTGGAAAGCTCGGCAGCCAACTGAGGCTTCGGCTCCGCCCCCAATCCCGACCCCGCCCTCAATCCCGACCCCGCCCTCAGGCTTGGCTCCGCCTCAGCCTTGGCCCCGCCTCAGTCTTGGCCCCGCCCAGGGCCGCCTCTTTTGTGGTCCGCGGCCAGCCACTGGCTTCCCTCCGCCGCGTGCCTTTGATCCAGCCAGGTCTCTGTTTAAAACGGACGAGCACACCTGGGCTTGATGCCCAGTTGCGGGGTTCCGGGCTGGGAGATGCGGCTGGAGGCGGCAGCGGCGGCGGGGGAGCTGCGGGCGCGCGGGGTGGTTGCCCGGAGCATAGCGTGGGAACGACCGTGGGATCCCAGCTGAGATGCAATTTACGAAGCTCTGGGCCCCAGGGGATCTTCTGTGTAGAAGCGGAGAATGAGAGGCAGAGTAGAATTTGTGAATTGGGTGAGCTGGAGAGCGTAGCTCTAAACGCAGAGAGCCCCTCAGCGTTCGGGTGTTCGTAGAACAAATCCATGGCCTCGCTGCCTTGCTTAAAATATCTTACAGTATAGATTCAGATTCGCTGGTTTATGCCTAGCGCATTTCCGGAGGCATACACACAGGCATCTTCAGAGAGAACTGGGTAGGTAGCAAACCAGAGGGAGAAAGAGTTTTCATTCGATAATGTTTGGATCTGATATGCTTTGAATCATAGATGTTACCTATTAAGAATAAACGCAATTTCAATTACAAAAATATTTTATTGGTTTCCAAGCATACAGAGAATAAAATTAAAAATCTTCTCCCTAGTTTACAAGGCTCTGCAGGACGTGCCTACCTCTTCAGCCCAATCTTTTCTTCCTTTACTAATCTTAGTCCACAACCACTTCAAGTTTCGCAGCCTCAAAGAACCTTCCCCTTTGTTCCCTCTTGACCTTCTGTCTCATCACTCCATCAGAGGCCTTCACTGACCCTCTCCCAATCAGATCATGTCCCCAATTATATGTGTATATATATGTATATATATGTGTGTGTGTGTGTGTGTTTATGTTGATCTGTTTTGTCGTCTTTATATTGTATGCTACAAGAGGGCAAGGATCATGCTTATTTATTGCCCCTCTGTATTCCAGGCACAGAGCGGGCACTTAATAAACATTTGTTGAATGAATGAATGAATGAATGAATGAATGAATGAATGAGAAGTGAAGTGAGGACAGCGACCATCCCTCCCAGAGTGCTCCATGGCCAAATGGTAGAAAGTTGATTGTGTCCTGACCAAGCTCCTGCTATGTTTGAAGAATAGGGCAAACTTGAGAAGACATGATTTTACACCATAAGACCTGTATAATTAATTCTATCAGCAAGACATATATGGGCTTTTCTCCAAGATCTCTTTCAGCATCCATGGCATGGATTCCATGCCTTCAGCAGGGATGTAGTGAGCCTCCATTGTGTGCAAGTTAGGCTGCTTCTTTTTACTCTAGATACATTGAATGTAATGGCCAAACACACTAAGAGAAAATCTCTGGGTGGTGAGAAGAAGCATGATGTTTTTTGTGTTTCTTTATACTTTTTTGTACATATCGAATGCTGTGTATTGAATATATATTACTTTGATCTGAGATTGTTTTGTAAACTAGAAGAAATGGTATCCAAAATTTTATAAGAAAATAATTTCAGAAAGAAATTTCCAAATATCTTGGTTGAAAGACATATGGCTGACTACATACTAATACATACTCAATTTTTTTTTTTTATCCTCACCCGAGGACATTTTTCCATATGTTGTTCAGATAGAGTGGGAGGGAGAGAGAGAGAAACATTGACATGAAAGGGACACGTCGAGTGGCTGCCACCCACACGACCCAACCAGGGCCGGGGACATACTGCAACCAAGGTACATGCCCTTAGCCAGAACTGAACCCGGGTCTCTCTGGACCACAGGTGGATGCTCTAACTGCTGAGCTAAACCCACCAGGGCACATACTGAAATTTTTAATATAGGACATTTTCCACACTAACATTTTATTTTCATATTGGAAGAAATATAATAAATTTAAGTTAAAAATGCTTCACTGTGACAAATGAAATGTTACTTAATGCAGAACCCAATCTGTGACAGGATAAGGAGTTGTAAATGGTGATGTGAGAAGCTAACTTCTCTTCAAATTCTGTTGGTTCTGCAAGCAAATATAACTGATGATTATGAAGAAATTAGTTTCTTCCTACCTCATTCCTAAGCAAAATAATACCCACAAAAACAACAACAAAATACCAAGCTTTCTTCCTTCACTAAGGGAAGTTTAGAAATTCACAGACCTACTGCCTATTTTAGCCTCCATTCAATTCATCATATCTATTCAAATCTAAGACATCTTTGATGATATGTACCATCAAGAAAGGAAAAGTGCTGTCAATTAAACTATAACACAATGTGTGGTAAGATAGGATTTTTGTTTTATACTTACTGAAATGGTGTTTTTAAACTTAGACATAGATTTATCAGTAATTGCATATATAGAAAAGAAAAATATAAACAACATAAATGGATTAAAAATTTTTTAAAATTCTATATGCTGAGTCTAATTTCTCTGAATCCCCCCTTTTTTTTTTTATCCTCACCCAAGGACATTTTTCCATTTTTTGTTCAGGTAGAGCAGAAGGGAGAGAAAGGAAGAGAGAGAGAGACGTGAAAGGGACACATTGAGTGGCTGCCACCCGCACGACCAACCAGGGCCGGGGACAAACTGCAACCGAGGTACGTGCCCTTAGCAGGAACTGAACCCAGGTCTTTCTGGACCGCAGGTCAATGCTCTAAGCCAAACCAGCCAGGGCCCTCTGAATCCCTTTTTGCCCAATCTGTGTGTTTTTCCACATACTATCATTAATAGTGCACAATTTCTTAAAAGGGTGTACTAGTCTTGTCTCTGGGATTTGCCTCCCAACCACCAATTCTCATTCTGCAAGTCTGATCTGAGGCTGGCACTATCTTATTTGACTAAAAGCAGTTGTTTCTGTCAAATTGAGGTTCAACAATTTAACTATACTCCTGTATGATACATGAATTGGTGATATCAGTCTCTTGTTTCTTTGGAATTTCTTTCACCTAATATGACACATCAGGCAATTTCTGCTGTCTTTGATTGCATTTCTTGGCACATGGATTCCACACACATAGTAGTACTAAGTTGCTTTAAACTCAGTGACACGATGACAGTTCAAATAGTTATGGCCATGTTCACAAATACAGAGGCAATGCCAACTATATCATGACTGTCACCTGGCCAATGACTATTTCTTTGATAATAAGATATATTCCAGTTTCAGAAATGTTAAAATGTGGGACCAAAGTGCTTCTTAGAACTCTTCAAATGCCATATATTAAACTGTTAGGATGATATATTCTGATGGCATATATTTTTTACTTTGTTTTTTATTTTAATTTTTTCAGTTTTTTTGAGATATAATTGACATATAACAATGTATTAGTCTGTGTACAATAAAATGATTTGATATACATATATATTGCAAAATTATTACCACAGTAAGTTTAGTTACCATCTATCACCTCACATAATTATAATTTTTTTCTTTATGAGAATTTTAAGAGAACTTTTACAATTTGCTCTCTTAGCAACTTTCAAATATATTATATAGTATTGTTAACTATAATCACCATGCTGTATATTACATCTCCAAAAGTTATCTTTTTGACCACCTTTACCCATTGCCCCCAATGATATATTGAACTACTAAAATATTCAACGGTATAATGCAGGATACCAGAGGCTGAGATACCAATTATTGCAATATTTACTAAACAAATTTGCATTGATCACTAATTACACGTCTGGCATAATAATTAGGCTAATGTGTAAGTGCAATTTAACTTGTATTATTACCTTGCAGTTATATCTCATGTGTTCTTTATTCATTTATTTTTTTTCCCCACTAATATTTATTGGATGCATTTAAGTGTTGAGCACTGGGCTAGGACTATGCAAAGCTAATAACCTGGCTGATTAACTACATCTGAAACATTAAAATAACAGCAAGATACCCACATTGAGTGAGGTACACGATAAGCTCTATGAAAGCCTTTGTGAAGGAGTCTGGAGACAACTGGGCCAGAAGAGTGGGTAAACTGTTGTGAGCCGGAAAAGACGAGAAGGGTATTCCAGAGAGATGTCCCAACATGAGCAAAAACACGGAGGGATAGCTGGAGAGATTTATTAAGTGCCAACTATATGTCCATCACTATTATTCATTATACATAATTTAATCTCACATTAATCCTTTCTCAAATTAAGTATGAAGACGCTGGGACTCTAAAAACTCTTCTGTTGGTCAGTGGTTGAGTCAGAATTTTACCTCAAATCTGTTGACCCCTGAGCCCATACATTTCACAAATCAGGAACCAAACTCTCAAGAACAGACAGCTTGCATTTGGAAGTTGTGAGAGATCAATGGGACTAGCTATGGTGAGAATAGAATATGGTGTTTGATAGACT